GTTTACAAAGCAATTAGAACATGGCCTCTATTCAAAATCTAGAATTCTAAATATAGTATTCATCAAAATTCCTCCCAATAAAAAGATTGGGAACAAAGAAAAATACACCACAGTTTTTGTGTGGAGATGATTCCTTGCCTGAGTTTTATCTTTTGTACTCTAGCTGTTTTATTTATTTTTTCTTTTTTCTTTTTTTTTTTTATTAGAGAATTTTCAACACACCAGGTCTAGAACTCACCATGGTCAGCCATGTGGGAATCCAGTGCCTTAACCACTATGCCACCTGCTGGCCCTGAAATCCATGCAGTTTTTAAAAAATAATATGTATTTCCTATTAACTTTTTGAAGAATTCTCATATGGCTATGGTACATTTATTTATTTATTTACTAAATACACACATGCAGCGATCCATTATTGATCTATCATTTATCTATACTTACATAGCTAATCTCTCTATCTCTCTATGTATCTACCTACCTACTTATATTTTTTTCTTTATTTGCCATCCTGTGCATTATTACTTTCATTGTCATAAAAATGTACCAAAATGATCTTTTTTCTTAGAAATACAACCAAATTGATTTTTTTCTCAGAACTACTCTATGTACTTAATAACAGAAAGTAGGAAATGAAACCAAAGAGTGGCCGATGTCGAGGGATTATTTAGTCATAGTTAATATGATCAAACTGCAACATATAGATCTAAATTATGAACATTAATGTGTGAATTTTAAAGCAAAAAATAAATGTTTTCTTTCTGTCCACCACATAGTGATGCCTGACTGAAATACAACAGCAGTCAGCTGGCCTTACATAATAGTGGGATTGTTTATGGAAAGAGGATATAAGAAACTTATTTAAGTGGACCCCAAAATGACGAACTTCTGTCAGAACACAAGATAGTTTTTAAAAGGCAGCATCTTTCTAAAATCCCTTTTAATCTCTAAAATAAAGGAAATGAGCCAGTGATTTCTGAGGTCCCTTCTTATCATAGCATTCTGTGAAAGCATGAAATCTGACTCCTAATGAAGGATAATCCTGTTCTGAATCAGGCCAAAGAGATTTACTGATACAAAATATGAGAAAGCCCCATTAATCAGCCGAATGAAGGAGCCTATGACTGGTTTATGGCTTGCGTGTGTTTGTTTTGTTGTTGTTGTTTTTCCAGAATCACTAAAGCAAAGTAGAACTGCATATCAGTTGAAATAATTATGCTAAAATAATATTGTCAACACGTGAAAACTATGCTTTTTTAGTAAGTGAATTTAAATGTTCAATTGCACATTTAAGTAAGACATGATTTTGTTTATACTTATGAAATATTGTTTTAAATATAATCCATTCTAGAAAAAAGTAGTTCATTCTATTTTTTTTTTTCATATCTCATAGAATGAATTAGGGGATTTGATGCAGTTAAGTGGGGCTTGATAATGTAAATTAACTGTAGTGACATTTCTTTATCAGGAAACTCGTTTTTTTAGCCAGTTCACCATTTTTACCCCCAGCGGGTGAGTGTGCATACCAGAGAGAGAAAGTGCACTCTTAATGAAGCGTGACCAGGCTGCAATCCGTCTCCCTTCTCTTCCTTCCCAGCAAGACTTAGAGCACCCATGTTTTTCAAGTCGCCAAGGCCAAGATTTGAACCCACAGTCAGCCATGTGGGAACCTGCCTCTCTGAACCATTGAGCTATGAGGCTGGCCCCAGCTGACACAATTTTCTAAAAGTCAACCCAAACTTTCCCCAAATATGGAAAATTGTCCTTAAGCAACTTCAAATTCTTGCCCCCCCAACACACACACACACAGGATCTTCAAAATATTGAGCAAAATTATATATTATAGAAAATAGTAAATAGATTTCAAAATTCTATTATGTCAAATAAACATGTACTTTAAATTTATTTCCCAAGACCTTTCGTAGTGTACCTTTTTGTATGTATCTGTGTGGTATGTGTGTATATCTATATATACATATATAAATACCTCCACCTATCTGTCTATATAACCTAGGACTCATTTCTCATTTACTTTGATGAAATGACTTGAAATCTGTAAAGTCCTCAGTTATAAGTGAAGGGCTGATGTGAAGTCAAAAAGGAAAAAAGTGGGTAGAGTTAGATTACTCTTTTTTTTTTTTTGAGAGGTTTTTGCTATAGGGCGCATGTGCTCTCCAGAAAGACAGAGACAGACAGAAAGATAGAAAGCGAGAAATCACCCCCCTAGGGGATGGCCACACCACAATCCCTTCTCCTCCATTCTCCTCTCAGTCTCTTGGGCATGTACACACATGCGACCAGCGTGAGTTTAAGCCACCAGGTCCAGTACTTGAACCGCGATCGACTACATGGGAGTTCAGCGACTACATAGCCATTACGCTAACTGCTGGTCCCCGAATAAGATGATTATTACAAGCAAGATAAAATGATAGGAACAGGAAGAGAGGTGTCAGCTGCTAAGATTCCATGAGATGAGAATAACTGTAAAAACATAAGACCAAAAATGAACTGAAATCACTTAGCACAAGAAAATCATGGTGGCACACCTTAATGCCAATAAGGAATATTTTTACTGTCTCAGTATAATAATTATGACTCATGTAATGCTATGCTATTTAAGAAACCAATGAAGTTTATAATAGTTTCTAAAAGCTTTCCTCAAAGAGTGCCAAATAAACGTAGCTTTAATTCTCATTTATGTGTATATTTTTCTGTTTTCAGTACCAGAAGATATACACACTCGCCAGAGACATAGAGTGAGAGAGAATGCACCTCCCCAAAGGGCATGGCCATGCTGCAATCCTTTCTCCTCCATTTCTCCAACCCATTAGTATTTTAGGGCAAACATGTGTATCTGGTGTGTTTTTCAAGCCATTGGGATTTGACTCCCTACACACAGGACTTACTGTTGTGTTACAGGCTGGCCCTAGCTTTAATTCTTAAGTAGATATATTCTAACTGTCTGAAAAATACACTTTTGTAAAACTAGCTCATTTCTTTGTAACAAATCCCAAATAAAGCTTATAGTGTCTTTGAAGTGTTACCTTTATGCTTTCAGTAGAAGCATCCATTATTTTACAAAGTCAGGTGAAGTTTAAGGTTTTGCTTTTATGTTTAAATTTTATTTATTTATTTATTTATTTTAGCCAGAGACCAGAGGATTTTAAAATTCTGAGAATATGCCTTCAGCTGTTATTTGTTTTCTGATCTGAAAGGTCATGTTAAAAGCCCTGCTGTCTGTAACTCTGCGAGGTCATAGCTACTATAGGTTTGCAATTCGTGAGTGACATCTATTGGGCCAGTGACAATTATTAGACAACAAGGAATAATGCAATATAAAAAAGTTCACTGTAATTACAGATTTTTGTATAGATTCTAAATGGGAAATATTTTAAAAAATATTTAATATATAAAGCATTCTATTTGATGCTCTTTTTTTTTTTATGTAAAGAATTATTTGGAATAGACTTTGGTGATAAGAAGAGGCAAGGCACTTTTATGTAAAGTTTTGTGGAGATGACTGGTAGACCCAGAGTTCTTTTCTTTGATGATACCAAAACTTAAATCTGTTTGGAACTTGCAGATGGTGTAATGGTTATGTTGCTGGACTCCCATGTAGTCAACCGCAGTTTGAGTCCCGGACTCAACAGCTTAAAATTTTACCAGGTGCATGTGCATGTGTGTTCGAAATCCCAAGAAGAGAATGGAGGAAAAGGGACTGTAGTGTGGCCATCCCCCTTGCCCCGGGGTGATTTCTTGCTTTCTGTTTTTCTGTCTCTCTGGTGAGAGCCCTATAGGAAAAATCTCTCTCTCTCTCTCAAAAAGAAAGAAAGAACAAAAGAAAGAAAGAAAAATTTAAATCTGGTGCAGACACCAGTAAATGGCAGCTAGATGAAGTCTCAGAGTCAAGGAATGGAGTTAAAGGTGGGCTATAGAATAGACAGGCTTGAGTAATGAACCGTAACAGAAAAGGTAAATGAGAAAAGTTTCTGAGGAATTTCCAAGGTGGCATGTAGACACACGGTCATTCGCTCCTCTTCTTGTGCCTGTTACTATTCTCTCCCCCGCTGCCTCGTGTCTCTTCCTCCTCCTCTCAACTACCCGCCCTTTCCTAAGCAGCCTCTGGTATCTACGCTTGCTGTTTTTGCTTTCATATTTTCCAGTCTTTACGTTTCTGCCATAAAGAGCAGACATTCAGTACATGCTGAGCAAAGATATACGAAGTCTGTCTTTCATCGTCTGATTGGCTTCACTTGGCGTTAAATCTTCTATGTTCGACCACGTTTTCTCAAACAATGAGATCCACTTTTACAGTTAGGATAGCCTGGCTCCTCAAGCACCATGTCCTGTAGCTGAATGATTTCCCCCAGCTATGTGATAGTATGTACAGTGTAACAAATACCAGCTATTGTACGAATATTACTTGACTAGAATTTCTCAGATTTCTGTGCTCTTTGTCCCCAGTACAGTGTCATAGTGCAGTGGTGAAGTGTTGGAGAGGATGCAGATTCTACATGGCTGACCACGGTTCAATGTCAGGTGTGCACATGCATGCCCAGGATCAGGAGGGAATGATTTCTTTCTTTTTTTTTTTTTTTTTTAGAGGTTTTTGCTATAGGGCACTTGTGCTCACCAGACAGACAGAGAGAGACAGAGAGACAGAAAAGGAGAAATCACCCCCTAGGGGGGATGGCCACACCACAATCCCTTCTCCTTCATTCTCCTCTTGGGATCTTGGGCACACATGCATACGCGCCCAGCATTGAGTTTTAAGCCACCGGGTCTGGGATGCAAACCATGGTCGACTACGTGGGATTCCAGTGACATAGCCATTACGGTAACTGCTGGTCCCAGGAGGGGATGATTTCTAAGACAATATTTGTTTCCTATAGATTTAAAGATACATTTATGCATCTTCTCATCTGTTAGAGATTTGGAAAATATCATCACTCTTTTGGCTTCTGAATTGGGAAAACAGAATTTTTTTTTTCTCTTTCACACAGATGTACATCCTTTACATTGAAATCCACCAGATTTTTCTTATAGCAGATATTTCCCCCACCCAATCTTGGCACGGAAGAAAATGAAGTTGTCTACATACAACCACCAATACAGAGGTCATAGCAATGAACCGAAACTTAATGGCCTTTTTTTATTAAATGGAGAGTCTTGGAATTGGTTTGAAATGTTCCTGTCATTGTGATCTGGAATGCCAGCTTCAAGAAAACACAAGCAATGTAAGTATAAAGGACTTACTAAAAATAGTACGCCGACATCCGTGTAAACAGATCTAAACCAATCCTACCTCACATAAAAACCATCAAAGTGTTCTAAGATCTAAAGCAGACAGTATTACAAGTAGAATCCTCATGTATTTAATCTATGTTAGTAATAATTATAGGAAAGAAAGCATACTGAACATTGCCCTAAATATTACTGTAGTTCTTTTTGCTCGAAAAAGTATTTTATAAAAGCAGTCATTTCTGTATTTTCGCCTTTCATGTTTTGTTTTCCTTCCTCATTTGTGATTTCTTTAAAAGTCCTTTTCTCAATAAGAAACTCACTTAAATCTAATAGTGATAAAATTAATAGAGAAACAAGGTCATATTTTAAAAATGTTAATAGGAGAAAAATAATAGAAATGTTTACATATTCAGAATGTTAGAGTTACATTTTAAAACAAGAGGTTTCTATAAAAAGAAATAATCAGAAGACCTTAAGAAGTTATAAATTGGGACCAGCAGATGGCATAATGGCTATGTCTCTGGACTCTCATATCGTCTGTTGCAATTCGAGTCCGGACTTGGTGGTTTAAACTCATGCTGGGCATGGGTGCATGCATGCCCAAGATTCCGAGAGAATGGGGGAGAAGGGATTGTGGTATGGCCATCCCCCCCTAGGGGGTGATTTCTCGCTTTCTACCTCTCTGCCTCTCTCTGTCTTTCTGGTGAGTACACGCACCATAAAACAAAAATCTCTCCAAAAAGAAAAACAAAGTTATAAATTAAGGTCAGCAGGTACCATGTTGATTAAAGTGCTGGATCCCACATGGTCAGTTATGGTTTGAGTTCGGGATCCGGCAACCAGAATATTATACCTGAATGGTATTCATGCATTTCCAAAATCCAGAGAAGAGAATGGAGAAGTGACTGTAGTGTGACCATCCATCCCTTGAGGGGGAAGATGATTTCTGACCTTCCCTCTAACCATCTCTCCAGTGAGTGCACACATCGTATGGCAAAAACATAAAAGGAAAGTAAATAAATAAAAATAAAAGGTTTTTTTTGTTTGTTTGAAGAGGTTTTTTATATAGGACACATACACTCGCCAGGAAGACAGAGAGAGACAGAGAGACAGGAAGGGAGAAATCACCTTCCCAGGGGGATGGCCATACCGCAATCCCTTCTCCTCCATTCTCCTCTTGGGATTTTGGGCACGCATGTACGTGCGCCTGGCATGAGTTTAAGCCACCGGGCCTGGGACTCAAACTGCGGTTGATTACATGAGAGTTCAGCGATATAGCCATTACACCAACTGCTGGTCCCAAAATAAAAGTTTTAAATTGGCCCAACCACTATGGCTCAGCATTAACGCAAGAGACTTGCAATGCAGGAAGCAATATGGCTGACCCCAGTTCAGATATGCAGGTTGGCCCGAAAACACTCCTTTTATTCTAAAACAGGAAAAAAAAAAAAATTAAATAGGCTTGTATGAAAGAGAAAATAAAGTTCAAGTTACAGACTATTTAGAATGAAACTATTTTGATACTACTGGTAATCAATACTGAGAGAATAAGGCTTAAGCAGGGTTTTAAAAGAAAATTGTAGGAAACCAGCAGTTAGCGTAATGGCTATGTCGCTGGACTCCCACGTAGTCGACCGCGGTTCGTGTCCCGGACCCGGTGGCTTAAAACTCACGCCGGGCACGTGTGCGTGCGTGCCCAAGATCCCGAGAGGAGAATGGAGGAGAAGGGATTGTGGCGTGACCATCTCCCCTGGGGGTGATTTCTCGCTTTCTGTCTCTATGTCTCTCTCTGTCTGTCTGGCGAGCGCACGTGCCCTACAGTGAAAATCTCTCTCAAAAAAAAAAAATTGTTATTTTTTAAATAATTCACTATAGAAGATGAGACTAAAATCATGTGATCCAAAAACCAACAATAACAACAAATCTAGAACAAGAAGAATGAATTAAACCACAGAAAGTTGACCAATTGGTATGAAGAAATTTGTTTTCTTATACGTAATGAAAGAAAACATTGTAATGTTTTTAAAAGGGGGAGCATTTTTCAATACTAATAGAAACTATAAAATTATTAAATTATAGCCGTAGATGCAAGACCTTTAGAAAGAAAACACTGCTCTTTTCTGGTAGTCATAATTAAAGACTCCTATAAATGGAGAAAATATCTGAAGAAAAGAATGAATTTTGTGTGGCTGTGGTGGTGGACCCTGTGATGCACCATCCAGATTCTTCTTCCAAGAAAGAGCTGTTTCTGTAACTACTAGAAGTTCTGTGTACAGAAAGCCTTCCACTATCACCCCCCTGAGAAATGTCCTCAGTTAAAGAAAGGTGCCTGTCACAGGGCCATATCCCTTCCCTAGCTCTTCACATTCAGTGACTAATTGATGAAGTTATTGTGTTGTGTGTTTTTTTTTTTTTTTTTTGCTTCATTTTTCCCATAAGGCATGTGCACTTACTGGAAAGAGACAACGAGAGAGACAATGAGAAGGAAAGTGAGAAATCACCCCCAGGGGGAATGGCTATGCTGCAATCCCTTCTTCTTTATTCTCTTCCTGAGATTTTAGGCATGCACACTCAGGTGCCTGGTGTGATTTTTCAAGCCTCCAGGTCTGAGAATCAAACCTCTGTAGTCCACATGAGAGTCCAGGGCCTTATCTACCACACCACCTGCTGGCCCCATGTGGGGTCTAACCTAGCTTGAAACAACACTGACTTACATTCTAACTTGAGCGCTTCCAAGGAGTTCAGCTGAGGCCCTCACTGGATCCACAGGACTTCAACTTTTCCCTCGAATAACTACTGTTTACTTAGTTCCCCTCTACAAGGTTCTTTTAAATAAAAATTCTCTACGCTATCTTGGTGTCTACCTCTCTTTTCCAGTGAACCTAGTATGTGAGATTGATCTCTTCATCTTTTATTCATGTGAAGCATTTAACTTACTCAGTTTAACCTGTTGAGTAAAAGCAATTCCTTCTCCTCCATTTTCCTCTTGGAATCTTGGGCTTGCAAGTACACATGCCTGGCATGAGTTTTAAGCCACCAGGTCCAGGACTGGAACTGTGGTCAACAATATGGGAGTCCAGCAAGTTACCATTACCATTTCACCATCTGCTGGTCATCTTTTTTTTAATTGCCAAGGTGAATATGTTCACCAGAGACAGAGACACAGAGAAAGACAGAGAGAAGGAGAAAGCATTCCCCAGTGGGGTGTGGCCACATCACAATTCCTTCTTTTCCATGTCTCCACCCTGTCAGGACTTTGGGCATGCACCCACACGTGCCTGAGGTGTTTTTGCAAGTCACCGGACTCGGACTTGAAGGGTGTCGGCCACATGAAATACGGCTCCCTTAACTCCTAGGCTACGGAGCCAGCCCCAGCATACTATTGTAGTTTTAAGATTTATTTGGAAGGTTTATATGTCAAGCTTAAAAAAAAAAAAAATTATTGGGCTAGAGCATAGCACTGGGAACCAGATATTAAAATTCTCAAAAACAACCACAGTTGAAATAAGCACTAGCTTTTGTTGCTGTGGTCATTGAGTTCTCCCTTGGATTTCTAGCCTTTTGCTTTAAATCAGCACATCCTGTCACACCAGTTGTTTTTACCCTTTTTTAGTATAAATTATTAAAGTACAGTGGGAGTGAAGTACTATTTATGAGTACTCATTATGTGGAATGACACCACACTAAGAACTTTCAAGAATAATAGCTAACATTTGTTGAGTGTTGACTTATGATACTGTACTAAGCCCAAGATTCCAAGAGGAAAATGGAGGAGAAGGAATTGCGGTGTGGTTATCCTCCTGGGGGGTGATTTCTTGCTTTCTGTCTCTCTGTCTCTCTATCTCTACAGTGAGTGCATGCATCCTATAGCAAAAAAAAAAAAAAAAAAAAAAAACCCAAACTCTCAAAACCAAAAACTACCATCATCACATTTATTCTTCATAAAACCCTATGAAGGGGTTAGTAACAGCATTGTTTACTGATTATGAAATTGAGGACTTAATGTAGTTGACTTGAAAGTTAAAAAACTTTGAAATGTTTGAGTTGAAAGGTAAACTCAGAATGAAGGAGATTCTGCATGGGTCCATTTTCATCTTAACAGAAAAAGTACCTAGGTAGCATCTCGCTAAACTGACCATAGTATTATCTTTTGTTTTAATAGTGTGGCAGCTTTGAGCAGAATCCATCCCAGGAGTTATTTTTAGGTAGAAAAAAGACGATAACTGGTGACCATCTGAACATACCTTATGTTTCCTTCAGAAACAGAGCATTTCAGATGTCATGCTTCCATCCACTCTGCCTTCCCCTAGATCCCCATTTTTTATCCTTAGAGATTGTAAAATTAGAGTCATAACACAATAATCACTTATCACAAAATTACTTAGAATATCTTTATTTATAAACACTTGATAATCTTTTATTCTTGCTTATAGATACATATGTCATATGCTAAAAATATTGTAATTCTCAAGTAAAAAATGGTTATAGTTTTCATCGTTTAATTATATCCAGATATGGGTTATGGAGAATAATTGTGGTACTCCAATTTTTTTTTCCCTACTTCATTGGCATAGAATCCATATTTATCTATTTATTTTAAGAATTGTTTTATTGAAATGTATTTATTTATTCATTCATTTATTTTAATTTGCTCAGAGAGAGAGAGACAGAGTGAGAGAGAGAGAGAGAGAAAGTGAGAAAGCAAGCCACCAGGTCTGGGACTTGATCACAGTTGGCCATGTGGGAGTCCAGTGGACTTAACCACTATGTCACCTGCCAGCCCTTCCAAATTTATTTTTAAAAGGCTATTTTAGGGCCCCGCAGCTGGTGTGGTAGTTAAGACACTGGACTCCCACATGACTGATCATAGTTCAAGTCCTGTACTTGGCAGCTTGCTTTCTCACTTTCCCTCTCTCTTTGGTGAATTAAAAAAATAATAATAAGTAAAAGTTAAAGAAATAATTTTTTAAAAAGGCTGTCTTGTTTTATCTTT